TCAAAGCCCTGTGGGACTTCCTCACAGGCGACAGAGGGACATGGGGTCCTTAGCAGCCTTTTGTGCTCCCTCCAGTGGTCTCTGGGGCCCTTGGGTCACTAATATTTTAGAGTCCCCATCTCAAATCCCTGGAGACACAGGGCTGCCCAGCTGTTATTTTGCAGAATTTTTTTTCTTGTAGCAGGCGACAGTTCTGCTTACCGCTCCTAGGACTGACTCACAAGGGGATGTGGGGATTTCTGAGCTGTTTCAAAATGTGCCCCGAATATTAGGGTGTTCATGTAGCCCTTGTTTATTTAAAATTTAAAAACTAAAAAGCCCCAAGGCCAACAAATATGACCCATGCACGCAGAAGCTGGGAGGGAGAGGCAGGCAGGGGCCTTCCAGGACCTAAGGGGTCCAGCAGGGTCCAGAACCCAGGTCTCCTGGGTGCCCCCACCCCATACTGTCTGCTTTGTCTTGGGCTGTGGGTGACAGCGACAATTTATGAGTTGCTTCCTTCTGCCTGGCTCACTGTTAAAGGCTTTGTAAGAAATAGTTCTTCCAAGCTAAGACCGGCAGTAGAGGTCTGTCATCCCAGATTCTGAGGCAGGAGGATTTTGAGTTTTAGCCTGACCTGGATAACTTAGTAGGATATCTCAAAATAAAGACTAAGAGGGTTGGGGGTGTAGCTAGACAGTAAAACATTTCCTTAGTATGCAAGAGGCCCCAGAATTAAAACAAAACAAACAAACCCTCATCAGCTGAGGACAACTATGTCACCACTGTGCCCCTCCTGAGTTATAGGTGAAGGTGCTGAGCACAGGGAACCTAGCAGATTCAGAGCCCTTGGTTTTCTTGGGGGAGTGGGATGTCGGCTATGGATCCTGCTAGGGCTGGCCCTGCCCAGCCGCAGGCAGGCCTCAGACTCAGTGTAAGTAAGTACAGAGGTCATCAAAATAAAGATCTGGGTCAGAAGGTGCAATGGAGCCCAAGAGATCCTGCTCGTCCCTTCCACCCAGCCTCCTGGAGCAGTGGGGATACCCAGTAAAGGGATCCAGATGGGGCAGAGGGATGGAGTAATCACCAGGGACTCTGGGGTTGTGGGAGCTTATGTAGGGACTGTGGTATTAATATCCTGCCCTTGATAGCAAAGTGGCACTGCCGGAGAGAGGGCAAGGCAGTCAGTGGCACAGAAAGGGCATTGTACCCCTCAGCCGCCCTCCCTGGCCTTCCATGGATTCCTCATCTAGGGATCATCATTGGACACCTCACTCACTTCCTCCTCAGTCTTTCCAGTTCGTTTACTTACTGATCCTGAGGGTTCCTAAGCTCAGAAGAAGACAACTTCAGGCAAGCCAGTTCCCCTCAGAACCTGAGTTTTCTCTTCTGGAACAAAGGGAGTGACCTGGAGGCACTGATGCTGCGGGAAGCAGAGTTAGACAACTAGGAGGGGCTGTTCCTAACAGAGAGATGCCTGCAGCTGCCCGCCAGTCACATAAGGGCAGGGACTGTTCCAAAGAGCATGGCGGGCATGCGTGCCACAGCTGAGGAGTAGGCTGGAAGCAAAAGGACACCTGCTTTAGATGGAGCGTGAGAGTTTGCTGGGTAGACCCGGTGGAAACCAGCAAGTCTGGGGAGAAAACAGTAAGCTCAGAGAGGAACGTATTTGTAAAGGCTTGGTATAAGCAGAGCACCGCGGACAGTCTCCCAGTCTGGCCATATCACCAAATAAGTCAGGGAGACATAGACACCAAGCCACCAAGCCACAATGCCTGGGACCATCATTGATCCCAGCACAAAACAAAGAGAAGCCCTCTTCACAAAGTCTCTGCTTTCATCTGGGGCCAAGAAAAGGAGAGGAAAACCCTGGGTGGAGACTACAGGGCATAAGTGAGCAGTTGAGAAGAGACAGGCTGAACAACGTTAGGATGTCCGCGTCCGCGGTGAGTTAGCGTAGTGGCCCACTTTGGAAACAGAATTCACCTGTAATAGACAGTGAATGTGTATGCTTCTTTGGTTGTGAGCCTCGCCTTTAATGACTGAGACATCTCTCCAGCCCAAGTATGTATGTTTTTTCGAGCCTGTGTGAGATGTAAGGTTCTCTGTACCTGCTGCCTACACACACACACACACACACACACACACACACACACACACTTGCGTGAACACGGGTCAATGCCCATGCTAATTCTGTGCCTGTGGTGACTGATGTACAATGGGGATGGGGAGCATGTGGTTGACAAAGAGGGAAAGAAAAGGGGCTTGGGGGGGGTAGGACCACTTAGACCTGGTGGGTTCTTCCTACCCACTGCTGTTTCAGATAATGAACACTGTTACAACATCAGCAAGGGCTGTCCCCACCAGTGGCAGCTGCCAGCTGGGTGATAGCAAGGTAATGAAAGCAGAGGCCTTGCGTCTGGGGGTGGGTGGGGGCTGTAGGAAGAGTAGGAAACAAGGGATCTTGTGTTTTTACACCAATGAAACCGGGACCCCTCCAAGCATTACTTAAGTTTTTATATTTGAAAGACCCCTTGAGTTCATTATCATCAAGTATAGTGCTATATACCTTTAATTCCAGCACTTAGGTGGCTGAGACAGGAAGATCAAGAGTTCAAGGTTATCCTGGGCTACATAATGAGACCTTTAAAAAAAAAAAAAGTAAAGCCCAGAGCCCATCTGAGGAACAAGTATTAGAGCAACCTCTTTCCTGAAACCTGAGGTCCTGGCATGGAAGTGTTAACAGTGACCGTTCAGATTAGGAACAAGTCATTGCCTTCTCACTCGGTTCTAGGCGTTTGGGACAGAACCTGGAACCCCGCCAAGGACCCAAGGGTTCTTCAAGCTGACTTGAAATCTAGGAACCCTAATCTGGTGGAGTCTCAGAACCCAACACCAAATCACCAAAGCCAGAGCCTAGGGACCACTCTGTCTAGGCCTCCCCTTGAGTGATCAGGGGACAGGGCTGACTATGTGGTCAGGATTAGGTTCCTGGAACAAGAAAGAGGCCCACGTGGAGGTGGTGATGCACACCTCTAATCCCAGGATTTGGGAGGTAGAGGCAGGTGGATCTCTGCGTACAAGGCCAACCTGGTCTACAGAGCAAGTTCCAGGACAGCCAAGACTTACACAGAGAAACCCTGTCTCGAGAAACCAAAAAAGAAAGAAAGAGGCCGGTTGTCTGTCTGTCTCTGTTGCTGCCTTTGTGACCCCCACCCTCACCCTGTGTGTGTGTGTGCGTGTGTGTGTGTGTTAAAGGTTTTATTTCCTACCTACTACTTTACCCATTTCTTCCCTGAGGTAGAAATGCTCTGCCGTGGTTTGGATG